CCCCCCCACCCTCCTCCTCCAATCATTATTCAAATTTGATGCTTTTGTCTGACATCCCCTAAATCTCCACAAATCAAATAGCGCTATTCACACATTAGTACCTGAGCACACTCACGAAAACATGTTACCACTCGCCCTCTGTTCCCAAAATGAGCAGCACATGTTCTCCTTTTTTCATTGTCTGCATACTGACATTTCATGTTCAATTACTGTGAAGGTGAAGGAACTGTGTGACGATTAATGATGTGTAGTTTATTAGTGTGTACACTCTGTTTTGAGGCGAGATATATTTTTACGGCAAATCTCGATTTCTTTTCTTCTAGTTGGTACTAAGAAATTGCTTATGCTTGGTTACGTGGAATAGACCAGCTTATGAACGAATTTCAACGACTGCAATTAGATCCAACTTATTTCCTTCTGATTGGCCCAATGTTGACGGTTTGGATGCCCTAGCACCAACTAGGTTATGGCCATTGGTTTTCCAATTGACCAATCAATTCCAAAATGGTACATTGAATTTAACACGATTGGTTAGCAGTAGACAAGATGTCGCTCTGATAAACAGTAAGGTAAACGTTGTCCGCAAATGAAGGAATCACTAACCACATTTCCTATCTTATAAAGTGCAAAGAAATTCAAAACAATTCCTGGCAATTCACCTCAATCTCAATGCAATGCCGTAACTATATCTTTTTATCCCCGAAAATGAGCGCAATAATCGATGGTGTTAAGCATGGCTTAAGTTAATTGGTGCAAATCACGACAGAATTTAACACCTTGAATTTCCTGTAACTTATGACAACGCCATTGATTAGAGAAGTGATCGGGACATCAAATGTATGCCAGTGATTTAATTGGAGGAACTATTAACCAATCCCATCTCAATACCAAAGCTAGAGCCACCGGTAAAAGAAGATGTAGATAAACAGAAGCCTATTTATCCAAAAACAATCACATAAACCGTACAAAATACACACGTGAGAGAAATAAGTGGAATAGGTCAATTAGACCACAGAGGTGAATCCCGGAAAGTGACGTAACAAAGAGAGGCGTTTTTGTGACAGCGTGGATCGATTTTCTCCAACTCCAAAATACTGATTGTGTTTTCACCAGTCACTAGCATGCTGCTTGGAACGTAGAGGCTAACTTGCGGTCCTGCACGGGGATTGTACCGTCCCACAATATTACCATTTATTGCCAAGACACCCTAAAACCGAAAAAATATGACTTAATAATACACAAGTAGATAAAGTAATTTATCAAAATTGGCTTATCTACATCCATCGAGTTGCATAGAAATGGTGTCAAATAATAGATTATAAAGTATCGAGTGTTCTCTGGTGACAGCGGCGCAGATCTAGCGTAGCAGACTGTTCAGAGGGAAGTTAGATAACATGAGATTTACAGATTGAAATACTACTTCTCTGATGTGAAAATGCCTTTAGTCAAGATTAGCAAACAATTCAAAGTAAAGAAACTGGATACTCCAACCAATAAGATCACGACATCCTTTTATCTCGGACGAGTTATATACTTTGCAAGCCCATCCAGTTTTTCGACTGAAACATTTCATAAATTTACTTATTTATCTCAAATGGAGGGTGTTTTGATGGTTTTGAAGCTGACTTCGGGCTTCATAGAGGGGGGGGGGGAGGATCAACAGAAAGTCGAGGGGTGGGGAACAGAAGAGTGTTTCAGAGATGTAAAAGAGACAAACAGACCAAAAGGCAAAGAAAAGGTAAGGAAAGTACTGTTGAAGTGGTGGAATATGACAAACAATGGGGTCATGGTAGTTTGAAGTCAGAAGTCAACTGCCGGTTTATAGACTTTTTTGTCGTATGAGTATACGTTGCCCAGGGTGCACCACGTGGAAGTAAGTCTATCGCACAACCCCCATTTCATAAATAAGTCCTATCTTCAATGGAGAAGAGGAGAAGACAGTAAACTGCTAATATCATCAAGGTTAAAATAGCAACAAATAATTTCGATGGTCACATTTCTGCATTCACACCATGACATACACTTTTCACAAAGAAGGCTTATTTCAGCTCTGGTACATTGAGATTAAGAAAATTACAACCAACTTCTTTCTCAACCAATGAAGGGAAAAATGTACTGAAGTTGCCGGACAGCCGATATCAAGTGGTGGAGATCATGAACAAGAATCCTCGAATCTGATTTTTGGAACATGTAAAATTCGCTGATACCGACTTTCATCTCGTTTTGGACCTCTACCCCATTCAATTATTTACAGCACTGTCAAGCAATTTCCATCACTAGTTACAAATCACAAAATCCTTGGCCTTGTTGTGGTTTATAATAAATACTTAAATTTAATTATCCTTAATTGAAGTATCGAGATTTAAATTATAGATAACACTTCTCAATTGGTTACCTCTTTTTAGAACCAAATAATTACGAAGACTACGGTGTATCGATTAAATCTGGGTACGAGAGAAATTTGAGTCGAAAGTAAAAAAACATCAAATGACTGCGAAAAAGGCACAATCGAGTAATTTTGACGAATGGCCTTAAAAACAGAGATCGAAAAACTGGGTTCAGACATGAATTATTAAGCTATTAAAACACATAGGTCATGTATAAAACATGTATAGGTCGTGTTAATGTAACAAATAAGGATAATTTCCTTGTGCAAAATAACCTGAATTTTTAAAGTGGCGAAAAATCGATAATTCAAAAAGGCGCCAAAATCGGCTAGTGAAAAGGTCCCATTGCCAAAATCGCTTTTCATTTGGCAAACCAAGTGAAAGAGGTGACTGCAAAAAAAGGTAAACAAAAAAAATCAGTAGCACCCGCAGATTTTGGAGCAAATAAAGGCGGTAAGTCAATGCCTTAAAATTCAAATCGCAAGTCGTATAAATATTGACTGAATTACTTGGGGCAAGGGGATCGGAAGAGATTGAGGAATAAAAGCATTCAAAGATAATTTTTAACACATCAATGAAGCAAAACACTCTTGGCTTACGAAATATGCACTTTAATTTAAAGTCAATTAGAAGAAGGTTATTATAAATAAGTTTAGTTATTACACACATTGATTCTTATTACTGCAAATGCAGAAGTGTAGCAAAGTCACCATTAAACGTGGTTGAGAAGGTGGCCACGCAATTCTCCTTCATCAATTACAATTGGGGGGGGGGGGGGGGGGGGGGGAAGGGGTAGGAGCTTCAACTTATGTCGACATATTTGCATTAAAATTGTGGGTCAATTAACGATTGCAAAGAGCTTGATACAAAATTGTAAGTTAATGACATTACAGAGAATTTAATTAATTGAACTCGAAAAATGAAGATTAGTCAGCATCGTAAACACATGTACCATTGCGCAGAAATGTGCCGAGGGGGTTTTGTGGTGGGGGGGGGGGGTATTTACGACCTCCTCTCCTCTTGAACTACACTCAATCGAATCAGTTAGTCCCATCATAATTCCATGGGCACCCACCTATTTCCGTTCCTTGTTTCGCCTCGAATTGATTACAATTACGTGGCAAAATTATAATTCAATGTTAAATCTAATTTTAATACATTCTATCCAATAATTATCTATCCTAGGGGAACTGGTAAGCCTCCAGATATTGAAGGGATGATGCTGGGAATAAATATCTATGAGGAACTCCATAGAAAAGAAGTTGAAATATTATTAAAAATGCGCGTTAAATCCTATTTACAAAAATACGGGCCTTTAAAACAACCCACACAGATGCAAAATGATTTTTCGCGTGAAAAAATCTGTGAAATTTGGAAAACGAAGACTACAACTGGAAGGTGTGCGTAAATAGAGGCGCAATATATGCCAACTCATCGTGCCATCGACATTTGACAAGTGGGAAGGGAGCGACGTATCGATCGTTACAAGTATAAAGACAAATCTGTCAATTGATAGACACCCTCTTCCAGTGGGTGGGTGATATAAGAACCACGAAAAGATAGGCCAAGAGTGATCAAACTTAACAATTCAAAAAAACAGTTGACCAGGAGATTCTGGGGATCAGAATAAGGATTCTTCTGATTTCAATGCAGTTGAAAGTTTCCCAATGATGAAGAATTGCCTAGGCCTATTTTTTATTCCTTTAAGTAAATAGATAGACAGATAGATACATAGAGTAGACACGTATTTAATTTGGGCGAATGATAGGCAACTTTTAAACGGGGATCAACTTACCCGACTGAAACCTTTCAGCACTGCAAAAGTGTCCGCTGGTGGAGAGGGGACATCGAAGACACCCTTGTAAATCGCTCCTGAGTCTGGATAGGAGGAGTCTCCATTTCTTTTATGCCGCAAAAAAAATTAATTTAAGCAAGAAATCCATTTGAAGGGAGCAGTTTAAAGCAGAAGAGAACTCACTCTGCTAAATAGGGTGGATTAACTGTTCGAAAATCGAGTCCCTTCATATCCCAATTGAGGAGTTCAAGACCATCAATCAGGACACGTCCAACAATTCCCTGCAATAGGAAATAACCGCTTTGAGTACACTTTAGCCCGCATCTTCAAGGCATTCTCATTTTATTTAAATTCTAGCCATGAACTTTGGACACCTAAGGGGATTTGAACAATGGAATAAGAGAGCGCGATTTTCCTTATTCAATTACTAATACATAATTGCTGATGATTACGTGGTTATCAAACCCAACACCACATAAAAACGGCAAATCTCGGCTAGTAAAAAGCGAACACTCTTCAACCCAACTTGGTCGATCTGCGATGTCCCACACATTCTCCTCAATTAGACTCAACTGTCATGCAGAACAAGGCATTATCTAATAAATTTTTTCACAAAAACGAACTTTAAACTCTTCTAATTTTAGTCAGCCTTAGAGCGTAGAGGCAGGAATCTCTTTTTGAGATTCGGAGAAAATCAACGTCGAGATGTTTACATTTGGTGGCTTCCTTCCCCAGTCTAAAGGAAACGTTGAAGAACATAGAAATATATCGCCCTAAGTAAATCCCAATTTTTCAACCAGCACTTCATTGATTTTTGATCAAATAGACTAATACTTACAATGACGTATAAATAATGGCGGAAATCAAGTCTATAAAGTTACTTTACAATAGTCAGAAGTAGTCTGGCGGTAGCTAGTGGGTGTATAGATGAAAGCAATCGAAAAGCATAGCTAACATTTGATTTTATATCAAATGACAGGCGTTTTGTTGGTTATCATTAGCCGAGAGGGGGGAGCAGAAGAGTGTTTTAAAAACGAAGGTAGAAAAGATAGGAAAAGGTGAGGTGAGTATTGTGGAAGTGGTCGAATATGACATACAGTGGGGTGATGGTAGCTTGAAGTGAGAAGTCAACTGCCAGTTAAGAGACTTTTTTGCCGTATGAGTATACGTTGCCCAGGGAGCACCACATGGAGGTAGGTCTATCGCTCACACCTCGCATAGCTAACATTAAAACTTGATAAAACGAATTTACCCCCTCCCTCTAAAGCACAATCTGCTTATTCGAATTATTTTACAATTGAAGGTGAGTTGGTTCAGACGCTGTGTCTATTAATTGATGAAAAAAACGATACCCCTTCCCTAACCTCTCCACTGCCATGCCAGAGGAGTAGTAATGGGAGTTAGTGGTCGAGTGAATGATTAACATACCTTGACATCACCCATCATCGATGCGCCAAAGTTGATGTGTCCTTGGCATTCGGTTACAATTGTAAGAATTGGGTGCTCCTTGTCAAGAGTGATATTTAAGGCGCCTCGACCCGCAAGGGAGCCGAAATAACTCTAAAGAATCTCACTAGAAAAGACTGAACCCCGACTCACAATTGACTTAACGCTCGGATCCGTTGTGAACACATATCCAACATCCTTGACACGTTCAAATTGCAGACTGGCTTTGCCTTCCCTCTCACCCAATACCACCGAATAGGCCATAAAACCCTGGTACTGAAATAGGAAATAAGTAGTAAAGAAAAGGAACATGGTCGTTATACATTAGGAAGCCCTACCTGTTTGACCGCCTCCATGTGTAGGGGCCGGACAGAATGAACACCCTCTTTCAAGTCGTAGATTAGGTGCGAGTACTGCGGGAAAAATATATATTTTCTTAAATTCAATGAGAGCATAGAACTAATGGAAGTGTTTTATTGACACTCACGAAATTAACCGAGGCTTTGCCATAGGCAGCTTTGGATATATTGGGTGGAATTGGGAGAGGTCTTTGTTTCTTGATACTGTAAAAGAGGTCTCGAAGGACCATGTATTTGTAAGTAGTGTCTCCATCTTCAGCAATTGGAGCATCATAATCGTAGGAGGTGATGATGATGTCACTAGCGGAATTGGCACCACTCCAGAAGCCAAAGTTTGTTCCTCCGTGGAACATGTAACTTAAAAGTAATAACGCTTAACAACTCTACCATCTTCAGTGGGAAAAAAAAAGAATTCATCAAAGAACTCACAAATTGAGACTGACTTTATTTGACATGTTTAAAATGTTAGCCGCCCCTTGGGCCAATTTCAGGGCGTCAACTCGATGTCTTTTTTCACCCCAATGATCTAACCAGCCCGTGTAGTATTCACTATTCACCTGAAAATTGGGATAATAAAAAGTGGTAAGAAATCGAGGTGACTTCAATATCCGCAGTGGCAACAAGATCCGTACATAACCGTTTCCTTACTTCCATTTCAGAAACTTCCATCTTACTGGAATGACAGACTTCAACTTATTTTTCAAAAAAATTCAGTGCGCTTATTTGTTACGGTAAACCTCATGATTTTGAGGTTTTACACAACATAAACAGTGCTATACAATACTAATATCACATATTCACCTTTCGCCGATTTTTCAACTATCTTAGTGATTTGACGGAGAAGAAATAAAAAAAAGATTCCTTTTCATGTGGAATACGATGCAGTGCAAATTCAGGAAGCGTGGCGGAATGAAAAAAACACGCGCCAAGGTGACAGGAGAAACGCGAAAAAATAAATTAGTCTTGACTCTGTGTCAATTCACCCAAGTACAGTACCAACACAAAGTGGAATCGGATGATTTCATGCATTCGTAAACAATATTTTGCCAGCAAAGTGTAAGGGAGTATTAAAATCGCGACTGATCACCGTTTAAGTGACTCTGAGAAAATTTTGATGAAAGCTTTATTGCAAAATGCACCACGACAGGAATTTCGAGAATAAAAAATAATCAAAAGTCAATTGGATCAAGCCAAAATATGAGAAAAAAAATCGTTTAGAAAGACACTGAAATTTGAGAGGGCTTACCAAAGTCTGCGCTTGGTGTATATTTAGTGCAAAAAAAAACCGTTGGAGTTTGATTAAAATGGGCAAATACTCACCAAAGGTCCATGGGGTTGGAATTCCAGGAGCGACTTAAACGATTCATTAGGATTCCTGGCTATAAATGGAAGCAGATTAAATGAAATGAATTAATTCAAACTTCATAAAAGTAGGGAAAACTCACCTCCGTCAACCCCGAAATCGACGGTAGAAAAGAGTCTGCGATCGGAAGACCCGCATTTGAGATAAGACAGGGAATTCCCATCAGTTGTGTATAGAATAATCTCATCTCCAAGAACAAATCTAGCATATTCATAGAGTGAAGAAAGGTACTCCTGTTCACAGGTATAATAAGAACCATATTCATTTTCTAGCTAAAAAAGGACAACAAGAAAAGTTAACAAAGGTTCTCCAAGAAAAGAAAAAAAGTAATAAATGATTAGTACTTGAATCATAGCAATTGGTCCACCGTTTTGATAAAGCAGCGGTTTCAATTTAGGAAGCAATTGAGAGAACCATCGAATTACCGAGTTGATGTACTCTAATATATATATATATATGTATGTATATTAAAAAATAAATTATCAAAAACCTGGTGATGTAGAACGTATTTTCAAGTTTGGATTGTCAGACAAGAGCCAAGCTGGAAGTCCACCCTGTTTAGGAAAGAATAAAAATAATAAATTTAAATTACAAAATCCCATTCCGAACAAATGTAAGGGCCAACACGAAGAAGGACAAGAAGATCTAGGCGATTTGCAAGTTGGATGAACTCAACAACATTTCTCTCATTGTCAAATAAATACTCCCCAGGATTAATTTCGTGAAAATTCCAGGGAATATAGCTAAAGCCCCTAAAATAAAAGCAATCCTACGTCTGAATGGCATCTAGTCCTGATGCCTTTGCTTTCATTAATCTATCCATCCAATATATACGCGGGATTCGGAAATAATGTAGGCTTCCAGATATAAAACGAAATGGTTTACCATCTTTCACAAAAACACCATGTTCGTCATCGATGAAAAAAGTTCGTGGCGACTAAAACGAATTATTCAAATGAATTCTTACTGCCAAGAAGTAAGAAACCAAGAAGCCAAACGTGGCTATCGTAGATGCAATAAATAAGATTTTCGAAATTGATGCAAATAGATTTTGACGTCCCATATAATTGTCAAATTTAACATTTTCATCTATGCCGAAATATTTATAAGAATATTTTAGAATTATACCATTAGTCGCTCTCTTTTTATAATGCTCCATTTTAAAAAGATACAACATCTAATCGTTTAGGTGCAAGTACAGATGAGAGGTATCTCCAAAAATTCCCCAAGGTCAAAATCTGGAGCAGTCAATTAAAACCTAACATATCGTAATTTTAAAATAAATATTTAATAATGAACTCAACTGTCTTTCACATTTATTTTTGATATTTAAGATTTTTAAATCTTTCCTTTGTAAGCTAGGTAAATACTTGCTTTAAAGGAAGCTAAATGTGCAAATTGTACTCCAACAACTATGAGTGAAGCTTCCGAGCTAGTAATCACATAATTATGTTGCAGACTTTCAATTTGAGCTATAATCCATTTTCATTAATGAGGTTTGAAAACACAAAATCTTGATAGCGTAAAAAGCTTATACAAATACATTTACTTTTATCAATAAACTCGAATAGGTAGACATCAAAGTTTAACCTTCGGTCTATGAAATCACAAATCATATACCAGTTCATCTACAACTTCAAGACTTTCTTTTAAAAATTTGGACTATTGTTGACGTCACCGTTCAATTCATATCTGATGTTATTCTTGAGATGAATTAATCCAAAAACATATAACAAAGCCAAATCTTTAAAATATCATAAATAGTCGATAAGTTGGCATAAACGGAAGAGGGCGCAGATGTGATATGATTAAAGAGGTAGAGCTCAGTTGCCATGGCTTAAAGATTGCCTTTAGTCATCCCTTAATCCTCATTGACTGTTCCTGAGGTGTCATTTTTGTGTGTTAAGTGTCTTTAAGTTGAAAGTGCGATTTCTCTAATGATTACTAAGATGTCTTATGCAGCGCAAGATAAGATTAGGTTAATTTCCCAAGGTTGGAGTGATAAAATATTCTTAGTTGAAAGCAGGTTTAGTTCTGAAATGCGTGAAATATTACGTATTCAGTAAAAAGTCACCATCATCTGATTTAAAATAATTAGATATATTATTATTTTTATTTACAGAAGAGAATAGTGGATAGCTGTGAGCGAGATCTAATTTTGCTTTTTCTTCATTTTATAAGCTTTATTAGCGTGGTGTTGTGAATGGCACATAATATCTTCAACCATTTTATCAACAACGAATAGATCAATGAACTTGGGAAAACAGGTATTGCCAAATTGAACCAAGTATTGGAAAGCGGCAAAGCTGAAAATGCAAACCCATTGTCTCCCCATTAATTCCGGTGACAATCGATAGATGTTTTCACTGACGCTAGAAGCCGCTGTGATGTGATAGGGGAAGTTTTGCACCTCTACCCACAAGCCTAGGTTGTAGAATCCAACCTGTTATTGTTATTATTATTATTAAAAAGCGGGATCTCTAGGCGCCTTTCCAGCTTATTTTTTTGTGCCACTGCCCATCAGCCAAATATGATTAAAACCACGGAGTCCATATTTGACTTAAGCAAGCAAGAAAATACCAATCGTAAGATTCCATTTTTATTTCGCCTGATTGTAAAGTGTTTCACAAATTAATTTAAGTACCAGGAGGAAGGAAATGAAACGAGTTTTAATTTCTTACAGTTAGTTGGCATAAAAGCTGCCAGTCTCTGCTTATGTTGCCTAAACACCATGCAACTTTGACGATTGCTTCATAGTATGAAATTCCAAAAAATACCATCTGTGAATTCAAAATTTCATGAAAGTAGAAATCTGCCGTATTTGACATCAATTTGTTTTGAAGACTATTCTCAGACCGAAATTGTTTGTCCAAAGACCTTGAAGACCTAAGGGGGTAACGTATTGCTACCTTAGTAAACCCTAACCGACTCAGAAATCGTTATGGCAGCTATGAAGGAAACAGACGTGTAGCACGGAGCACGTTTATTCGGGACGTATATTGCGGACAAAGTGTACACGCCGAGAGCTACTCATGATCAGGATGGGGGATTAGGTTAAACAGAGGTTGCTGATTGGTCACTGTTGTACGGTCACTGCACACAGAGTTGTACGGCCGCACCTCCCAATCCTGGCGAGCAGACATGCAGGCATACGATGACGCACAGAGCGATAACGTGTCCCACAGAAATCCTCCAAAATCACAATATTCTGCCGCATTTTTCTGTTAATTATCTTCCCATTGAAAGCCAGAGATCTCATTGCGCAAGTTTTAAAGTACTCTAAGTGTCGTGATTAATTTCCATTACTTTGTCCACATAATTAGGTGAATTATACAATCTGTACGTTTATTAATTCGAATAATTATTTCTTCATGTAAATAATTCGTAGCTTTGTAGCTTTTTATAAATATATCAAAAATATCTTAGTTCACTACACATGGCCAGGGAACTGGCTGTGTGTCTTGAATACACAAGGTTTGTTTGCCTGATTGACCACTATTGTCCTTGTATATTTTATTCCGATCCCGCAGTCTCTTAATGAGTCATTATTAATGTATAAATTAGTCATCATTAATTAAAGAATTCAAATGTGAAAGTAAGTGAGACTGACGAGTGCCTAACCATAACACGCTTAAGTTAAGCAACCTCATGAGCGCTCGGACATTCTTGAACGCGCGACCTTGATGCTGATCAGAGCAAGTGGGGTCATGAGAGCAGAGACCTCTTAATCAATCAACAATGAATAGTCATTAGAGGATCAGAGCACCCACAACTGGTTTCATGGCCGATCTCTTCGCCAATGCGCTTATACGCATCATAATCAAAAATTCCACTACTTCAGAAAATTGATTCTCCTTCTTACCTTCTGTTTCCTCGATATTGTTGACGTAGGTAAGCTAATTTCGGTAGTGGACCCGTACTGGAGGAGGGGGGGGGGGGATTTTGCAACAGAGATTACTGAGCAATCATTAATTTGGATCTATAACGTTGTAATGTTTATTTATTTCAAATGGCAGGCGTTTTGAAAATTATCATTAGCCATTTAGCTGACTTTAGGCTTCAAAGAGAGGAGGAGGAGGAACATCAAAGGGAGGAAAAGTTGAGAGGGGGGAGAGAAGAGTGATTCACAGATGTAAATAGACAGACAGACAAAAAGGCGGAAAAAAGGTAAGATGAGTACCGTAGAGGTGGTCAAATAAGATATATAGTGGGGTCATGGTAGTTTGAAGTGAGAAGTCAACTGCCGGTTTATAGACTTTTTTGCCGTATGCGTATACGTTGTCCATGGTGCACCACGTGGAGGCAAGTCTATCACACACCCAAACGATAACAGTTCGATTAGGGATACGGCAACTTCGTAACTGAATAAAAGTGGAGCTTTGCTACCACGTCTCGGCCATAAACCAAATGCCCATCTCATGCGGATCAAACGTCATTCAATGTATCTCAAAACCGGAACTAGAGATCACAGTAAAACACAGAGCCACTTTATTAAAAAACCGCAACCGCCCTGGAGGTGAATCGAAGGACCAGAGCATCGAAATGGCAAAACAGGTAAGGTGTCTGGTACACAGTACCTGAGGAATCCCCCAGCCTCTGAGTGTTTGGACATGGAAGTGCGTCGATAAAATAGCAGACTAACAGAGGTAGTGACAGAATGGAGAGGGAGGGCAAGCTGCCATCAAAAATCCATAAAATTTGTTGATCCCTTAGGAGACTAGTTTCCTACTAACTTATCTATTTGCACTTTACTAAATAGGCTATCCGCTTTAAATTCCTGCAAGAGATATGGCAGGCAATGTGGCACTATCGCTTAGAACCAATAGCCTCCTTCGTGTACTTAACTGGAAGGCAAGGTAACATTACAATCAGACTTTACCCAAGAGGAAAACAAAATTTACTGAGACAAAACTGCGGCAATCCGAAAGAAGCGACACCCTCCTCCACCCCTTTTAAAATCTAGAAGGCCCACGGGTGCTCATCTAAGAGTGACGAAACAAAATGTCGACATTTACAAATCCAAATAGGAAGGATTCGATTTTTCCCACAAGTAATACCTGAAATACTAATCCACTTAAATAAAGTTCAGTAATAAGTATTCTCAATAACGAATCCGAGAGCAAAAAGCGTGGTGTACACTCTGTTAGGAAAAGGAAAGGTTAGAACAGTTGGGGAGGACAATGGAATTGTATGACAAAAGTGTGGGGTGTGGGATAAAAAAAATGTACAGCAGAGAGGGAGAGAGAGGGGGGGGGGGGGGCG